GGGGATCAGTGTTGCCTGATGACTTGGTATTGCCTGCTGAGCAAAAGGGAGAATGCTGAGCCAGCAGGAAGGCTTAACTGGTTAACAGGAGCCCTCCAACAAAATGTCTCTGAGTCCTCCCAGTTGCTCTAGCCACAAAGCTGCAGGAATGATTTGCCTAGATTATTCCATGAACACCTAGTTCATTTCTAGTCCTTACCAATTTTTACCAGTTTCTGTGTATGGGAAGTTGTCTTAGAAATAATCTCATCCACCAGTTAGGTGACCCTAATTCTCCTAGAAGGGAGCTCAGCTCTGAAGGTGGATAGGAAGCTTCATGGAGAGGATACCTGAAAGAAATGGGTACAAATAGATGGTGAAAACTTGCTTTCTCAAGTGCCAGTAATAGCGCTTTCCCCTGGTGCGAAAGTGCAAGGTGGTAATTAGACAGACATATTAACATTCCTCCTGAGAACATGAAGTCTAAAAAGGGCTCTCCGTATGAAGTTCCTGTAATTAAAGATGGCTTGGTGTAGTTAGATTATTCATTTCTAAGGATGTGACGTGAATGGCTAGTGTTCATCTTTTCAGTCTGGTGACTGGGTACCTACAGGGGTTTTCACTGTGTGTGCATGGGTATTACAACAGGAGGATTTTTCCACCAGAAGGCATGTATATGCTCTCTGTATCAGATTAATGCTTTGCTGTTTATGTATACCTTGTGTAATCCAGAAGACAATTTTGCAGGTCACATTGTGAGATAATTTGGAATTACACTTGATTTTTCTAGTTCTTTATCAAGGATGTCATAAGCCCATGTGACTCTTGCATACAGAAAATAAGAAAGCTATTCTCCAGACTGGAATTTCTTGAGTCTTGCTAAAAAGTGGTACTGAAGTGTGTGTACGCAACCTGCAGCACTCTAAATCCTACTGTTGTATCTGTAGGAATACATGGCAATCATGGCATGCTGCACTTGTGTCTTGTGTCATATCACTCTTTGAAGAGCTGGTATTGCGTACTGTCTAGCGTGTTTCTGTGGGCGTGCACCAGTAATGACAGCGTTAATCTCAGGAGTGCTGTGTTTTCTTGGCTTAACATCTGTGGGTTTCCCAAAACTTACAAAATGACTGAGTAGCCAAGTGTCTTTTTAAATGCTGTACTGAGCAGCAGGAGCAACTTTTTAAATGGCCTGTAAAAGCTTGGTAGATTTTTTTTAAAGATTTTTATTAAAAAACAGTAGTGAGAAGGCAGGGGAGAGGTGGGGGTAGTAGAAGGGACAGGAGACTGACAAAGGTAGGTTTGGGAGGAAGAACTGAAGATGGGACCGTGTGGATTCAGGAGGCGATGTGTGTGTGCTGGGGAGGGGGGCGTGACAGAAGCAAGAATAGCGGAGGTGACTCTCCTATAGAAGCATTAAAAATGCATTGGATTATCTTCCAGAGGGTGCTAGAGTGGAAAAAAGCTGTGTCATTCAGGAGTGCTGTTCTTGTATCCACGCTGCGTGACAGAAATGCAGGCTTCCCCATTGGGCGGTGATAGTCATCCTGTACTGGGAGATGGATCTGCTGTATCTTGGGCTACAGAGCCTCCCTGGGTTTGTGCAAGAAGCAGTGTGATTTGTCTTGACCTCAAGGACTTACACTGTTGGATTAAGATGAGTTGATCTATTTTTACTTTCAAAGGTCGCGCTTAAATAAAAGGAGCCCTTCTGTTTCCCTCTAATCAAATAAAAGGTAGTTAAAAACTAGTGCAAATCCTTAAGTCTGCTTTAAACAATAGCAACTTATACCAGTGTGTGTAGGCAGGGATTTGAAACAACTGTTGGATTTAGATGAAACCAAATGCAAACAGAAAACTTAGAAGTGGTCTTCTCCTCTTCCCCACCGGCAGTTCCCCCACTGCCTGCCCTCCAGCTCTGCCCCTCCTCAGCCACAGCACGGGTGCAGGCAGCTGCCTGCAGCCTGTGTCGCTGGGCTTCGTGCAGGGATGGCTTCCTTCCCTCTCTAGCATGATAGAAAGGGGAACTGCCACAAAACCGTACAGCTTGCTCCTGGGAGAAGGAATGGCTGTGGAAGTGGCCCTTGCTAGCACAGGGTGTGAATGCGGAGCTGGCTTTAGCTGGGCGGTAATGGAATAATTAATGCTTTATGTGTAATTTCCAGTGAATGTGTGATATGCACGTCTAGAGGAATTTGTTACTTGAGTTAAATGGCTTTTATCCCAATTCCTGTTGCTGTAGTGTTTTCTTTCAGTAGTGGCTGTGCCTGGAGGGTTGGGGCAGTCGGAGCTGCGGCTCGTACAGGGCTGGACGAGAAGCCTGCGAGGATGGCTGCTGGGGTAGTTCTGCCTTGAAAGGGTAACAAGTTCCAAAGCACTTGCTGGTAGTTGCTAGCATTTCATAAATGGTACCTTTAAGTAAACTGGCTAATACACCTAGCTGTGCTGCATCTTTAAGACAAGATGACTGCTGCTACTTCAGCGTGCTGCTTCTGAGTCTTTTCCACCAAAACAATGCTACTGCGCTGGGAGTACTGAGAGCCAAGCAGGAGGTTTTGGGCACTTACCAAGCCTTTGCTGAAAGAATAGGCTTCTAGTAGCTGTAACAGACTGAATAAAAATCACTCACCAATTAAAGGGGTCAGATCTGCATATTCAATGTCAAGAATGTTCTGGAATTTATTTGATGTCTATAGTAGAAATAACTGTTGAAGTTTTCTGCTGCTCAGGAGGGTGAAAGGATCTGGATGAAATTCAAGCCAGAGGTTTGTAATTGCTGTGATGGGATGCTGAATTTCCTTATCCTGGGCATAGCTCTGGATCTATAATCTCTCTAGTTCAGGGGGAGGGGTCTGTGTGTGTCTTTTTTTATTCCCTCCACCTCTGTGTATCCGAGGCATGCATTATCAGGCTCTGATAATAGCCGCAACCAGGGAGGAATGGAGAGGGCTTTTCTCTCTTTAATTATCAGCATCATTTGCATTAGGAACATGTTTGAGGAATGGTATTAGTGAAGAACTGATTCCTTGTGTTAACACTAAATATTAAGAGCTACGTACCTGCTGCTTCTTTTTCTGTATATGATGCAAACTGCCCACTGTCCCTTGGAAGACTCATCAGCTGAGGCCTTTATGGGCCTTTATGGAAGTGTTGGAAAAAGTATGAGGCTAGCACAGACTTCCATAGTGGATCCACTTCCAGTGCATGATATTTGCTTCCCTTTCTTGTCTGTATGAGGAGAAGGAAATGCAACCAGGTGAACTATGTTGTTCTGCTCACTCTTTCTGAAATGGATGAGCCCAGGAAAGGAAGGATGGATGCTGTCTTCCCACAGGAGAGGAGCGAGAGCAGAAACTGTTGTTTGGACTGCAGACCCATGTACATGCCAGAGCAAATCTCTGGAAGGGTCTGTTATCTGGACAAAGCCCACTCTAGCCTGCCTGCTTGGGTTTAGTTCCCAGTCGGGTGGTGATGGTGGTGAAGAATGCCTAACGTCCTTTACTGGCCCTTCCTGTTAAACAAAGGCACTATACTTGTTCTGAAAGTTGTTGTTTGGCTTGTTTCCTTCCTCTTTTATTCCTCCTTCAAACCAACTCTGAGGACAGTGCTACAACCCAAGCACAAAGTTGTTGTGAAAAAACTAAATGTTTCATCCAGAATAACTTAGATTTATACGAAACCCACCACTACCACAAACACAACCGTAGTATCTTGAGAACCTTCACAGAAAAAGATCCTGGGTGCTTCGAAGCTAAACGTGACATGAGAATAGGAAACTTGTATCTTGGTAATATTTGTTTGCTCTGAGTTTAGTTGTGTGACCCCTTCAAGTTCTTTCTTCCTCTATTATTAGGAAAAATGGGCTTGGGAAGAGGAACTGTGAGTTCCTGCAGCGATGTCTTAATAGAAGAGGTATCGCTGACTTGCATGAGATAATCTCCTGGTTGCAACTCATTTACAGGATCTTCCTCCTTTAAGTGAGGCTTAAGCTAATATGGTTTACTTTATAATTGGGGCAGACTGATATGTGTGGACAGTTATGGCAAATCAGCTGATAGGTGGTAATTTGCTAAGCAGCTGGAGTTGAATTGTGTCTGCAAGCTTGAAATTTGCTTGCTTTAAAAATAAATAAGCCTTTTGTCCCAGTAAGTTACTGAGCCTTCCTTCCCAGTACTCTAAATCAGTGCAACACAAATGCTTCTAATGGGAAGATAAATCAAGATAGATGACGCTCATAGATATTTCACAGTGTAGAGAAGGTGGCATGAATAACATATCTAGAGGAACCACCACCACAGTCAAGTAGCCTGTGCAAGTTCTTTGTATCCTGTTTTTAAAAAATATAATGAAACAATCTCTCTTTCATGTCCAGACAAGGCGTGCATCTCCTGACAGCAATGGTAGGCCTTTCAGGAGCCACTGGAGAGCCGCTTGGCTGGCTGGATTTCTGGTTGCCCATGGCTAGATCTGAACTCTCTTAACAGTTCTCTAACAGATTTTCATTATTTCACCACAAATGAAACGTACATATTGAAGGGGTGGCGTTCCGCTGTTCGTAATATGGATGCTATACAGAGAATCAGTGGCTGTGTGGAAAATGCAGGTGAATGTTTACAGGTGAATTTTTTTTAGTGGTTGCTGAGGGGCATGACTACCCCAGAGACCCTTTGTGGAGGCACACGGCTTCCCTGTCTCTGGAAAGTGCTGCTGTGACTACGAAGGGCGCTGTAGCGGTAAGCCGTGCATTATACAGCTTGCCTTTTAGCTTTGACTCTGCCCTTTCTTGCTTTCACTCTGCAGTGCTGGAATTGCTGTTGGCTTCTATGGGAATGGAGAGACCAGTGATGGCATTCACCGGCTGACGTACTCGCTGCGCCACGCAAACCGCACTGTGGCAGGTGTCCAAGACCGGGTGAGCACTAAGGGGATGCGCAAGCAACTGGGGAGGCTGGGAATGAGCAGACCTGCTCAGCGCCTCTTCTCTTGAATCTGGCTGTGCCTGTATTTCTTCCTCTTTTTTGTTAGTCTCTGGGCTTAGAGATGTGCTAAAATTTCCATTACTGGAGTGGTGCTTTCTTCAGCTCTTCTAAAAATATCGAAGCAAATACAGCTTGTTAAATGAAGTCTTCTCTTTGCTGGGTTTAAAAACAGCTTCTGATCAGCTCTCTTCCACACTCGGAAGAGGAGGCAGGCCAGAGCAGACAAATCTTTTACTAAAATGTATCATTTTAGTACAATCAGTTGTTGCTGTGCTCCCTCTAATTTCATGGTATCATTCTGCAACCCTGATGGCCGCAAAATGTGTACATGTGTTAAAGGCCCAGCTGAGATGCTCTCATTGGACTACCACAACCTACTTTATAGATGCTTACAACTTGCTTTTGAAGGGTAAGCAGTCTGAGCCTCTTAAGACAGAGGACTGGTAATCTGGAAGCTGTCCATAACTCGCTAGTAAGGATGAATCCTCTTTTACTTCCTTGACTTCCTGTCCTTTAATCATTATTTTTTCTTTGCCATACTATAGGTACTAGATACCGCAGTGGCCCTGAACCAAACAGTAGAACCAAACTTGCTCATCCTGGAGGAGATGTTTACGAAGCAGACTGACTACCTGCATGTTATCCAGAAACTGCAAGGTCTCTTGGATGATCTGGTCAGACAAACAACTGAGATCCCCTTTTGGAAGAATGAAGAGCTGTCTCTGGAGGAGCTGGCAATTCAGATTGACCTTTATGACTGGTACAGGTGTGTAGCATGCTGTAGTGTAGTGGTTGTAGCATCTGTTTTGCAACAGTGGTGTGTGTGTTCTGGGTAGCTGAGCCAAAGACTGTATATATATTACTGCAGGTGTTCCTGGCCCATCCAGCTGACTTGTTTCTTAACAGCAAAATTGCTTCAGTTTAAATCAAAATGCCTGGCAATGAGTCTTTTCTTAATGGTTTACCACCAGCTGGAGGGAAACTTATACTGAATATACAAAATCTGTAGCTTGTGTTCTAACACTGGGGGGGGAAAAAAAAGCCACAGAGATGACTACTCTTGTATCTTATGAAGTGCATTGTAGTTGTATGACACATTAACTAAATAGTGGAAAATTGAACTAGTTGCATATGTTAACACCATCACAGAATCACTAGGTTGGAAAGGACCT